TAAATTTTAGTATTTGATTTATGAATGAAAAATGTTTTTGAAAAATATATTTTATTTTTACTATAGTAGAAAATAATTTATGAAATTGAAAAATATTTTTCAAATTTTTTAAATTAAAGTTGGAGAAGAGTTTTGAAAAATATTTTACTTAATTTTTGAAGGGAAGTCATTTTCCTTAATTTTGAAGAAACTGAGTTGATTTAAAAAAAAAATTTCAAAACTTTTATTCCAATCAAATATGAAAAAATTAAAAAAATATTTTTCAAAAAATATTTTCTTTCGTACTAAACACACACTAAATGATAAATAGATAATGAAAAGGGATTTTTTTTTTAAAAAAAAACAGCCATCTTAAAAATGGAAGGTGCATGTCGGCAGAATCATTGTGACGTTGTTTAGCGTAACACCAATATTGCCCTTTTGGTTTCTTCATTAAATAGTTTGTCTATGTAATTTTTTATCGTTAAATTTTTTTTGTCTATTCTTAAACGGAATGACGCAAATTTGGTGAGTGCTGGAAAGATAATTTAAAGATCTTTAATTTTATAGATTATGGGTCACGTAATTCTTTATATTTTATAAGATATGATCGTTTAAAAATGACCGAAGTAGAACCTTACATCCAAACTTAATCGATTAGGTAACTTTCAACTTCACTTTGTGCTAGAAGTTTTCTGGTGACCTTAATTGACATTCAAAATCATTCACACACTAAAGAATTTTCCTTAACAACTAACAAAAATTAAGAGTCACTCCGTACAACTTATACGCAATTCAAGAATGGTTTGGGGCTTAACTTAGAATTTCTCGGGGCGTTACAATAGTAAAATAAAGGAGATAAAATGAGTAAAGTAAAAGAGAAAGTAATAAAAAGAAAAGTTGAGGTGATATTATCTTTTTTGAGGCAAATTTAGGTAATTTTTTGGAGCCGAGATGTTATTATTGTCATTTACACGTCAATTGCTATTCATGCCGAAAATCTATCCTTGCCATTTAGTTTTACTGTATAATATAAATAAACTAGGTAAATATTTTACGCAGTCATAAATAATAATTGCATTGAACTTGTAGATAATTTATTATTAATATCCGTAATATCCGTACATAAAAGTTAATAGAAAAGTAGGTTATTAAAAAAATTTGCAATATTCCAACATGAATTTGATTATTTGTCATTATCACATAAGTCAAGAACCTCTAATGAATTAATTATTCACGATATAATAAATCATTGGTTCTTTAATCAACATTGAAAGGAAAATAAAGAAGAAAATATGAATATACATACAAAGGCATTTCGTAATAAAAAGAAACCTTTAACTTGCACAAATTATACAATTGTGATATATATCTAAAATGAAAATTTAAATTTTTTAACATATTCAGAAAAGAAATTATGCTTACACATGAAAGCAATTATAACTTTTGAACTTGCATAATGAATATCTTCTATTGATAAGTGAGAAATTTCATATTTATGTAAGAAAAGATTATATGTAAGCTTATATATAATATTTTTACAATAATTATTTTCTGTATAATAAATATACGTACTATATATTTTTAATATAATCGGAGAAAATAATTTTACAAAAACATAAAAAACAAAGTTTAAAAATGTATTCAATAACAACAATTACTATCATAACAAACATAGATTAATGAGTGTAAAAAGACATATCAGGATATGTATAAATAGAATGAAATAAAAAAAAAATCATGTCAGCAAAATACACAATGTCCGCTTAAGAAAATTATTCCCTTCCAAAACAGAGGTTTAAAGAATTATATCCTCTTAGGATGGAACAATTTTATTCACCAACTTATTTATAAAAATAAGTGGTGTTAGTATGTCACTCAAAAAGAGCAAAGTACAAAAATATTTAATTTTGCAGAAGTAGAAGTAGAAGATCAGAAATATATTGTTTTAACATGTGAGGAAATCCTTTTATTTATAAACAAAAAGGGTAGTATGAACAAATGTTTACTGTATCTTGTTAGAAATGGTACAACTATTTGGAAAATTCGCAATCCTTCGGAAAGTTCACAACCCTTCATAAAAGTCACAAACATCTTATAAAACCGCAACATTTTATTAAAGTCACAATTTTTGATAAAAGTCACCACTTTTGTAAAAATCGCTATTCTTCATAAATGTCACAATCTTTCATAAAAATCACAACTTTTGATAAAAGTCGCACATCTTCATTAAAATTGCAACTTTTCATAAAAATCATATTTTTTCATGAAAGATAAATGCTATTTTTGAAAATAAATAAATTTAAAAGGAGATTCTTGATTGTGGTGGCGCCACATCGGCGGGCCTATAGTTCTCTTTTTTTTTATTGGAAAGAAAAAAATTGTGGATAGCGTAATTTCTTGAAACAAACTACTCATTAATTTAAGACTTTTCTTTTAATAGTTTAACTTTAAAAAAAAATTTACAGCAACACCTTTTATTTTTTTTTTGATATGATTGGCAAGATGAGAGGGCCACCTTTTATTTATTTTTTATTGACAAAGATATATTTTTGTTTTATACAGACTAAAAATAAATTATAAAAAGGAAAAATCATATTTGATTGACAAGATAATAGGACCACGTAATATATTTTTTTTGATTGACAAGATATATTTTTGTTTCAAACAAACAAAAAATGAATTTCAATAAGGAAAACTACATTTGATTGACAAGACGAGAGGACCACTTTTCTTTCATAGACAACGTAATGGGATTAATCTGATTTGGTTTACGTTGCAATAGTAACAAATAATCATAGTATCTCAAATAGTTCCTCACTTTATAGCACACCTTATAGACACAACAAAAATATGTATATTTAAGTTGGTGGAGCCAACATATCAGGTAGAGTTTAATAATATTGAAGGCATTCTATAAATCAAACAGGAAAATAATATTTCATAATTATCTATAAATTAAATAGAAAAAAAATAATTTACTTCCATCTTTTATAGGTGAATGGAAATATTTCAAGTAAAATTTGTAAAAAAAGGCTACAAATAGAGATCACAAGTTGAAACAAGAATTAAAATCTCAAAAGAATTATAGACTCTGAAATTTTATCAAATTTTAATTTGCAAGAGCTTCAGAATATTTTAATCCAAAATGTTATAATTATTATAATATTTTTTTTGTCTTATTTCTTTTATTTTTTTAATAAGCTTTATTGTCTATAATAATGTCTTCCACCCAAACTTAGAAAACACTTTTGAGTGGGATTTTATGGATTATAGAGGTTTCAAAACGTGTGTATATATATATATATATAGTGATTAATTTATCTAAGCAATATTTGTGAACACATATATGTTTTTTTCTCAAAATATGAACCAAACATATCTAATAAAATGCTTTATCATATGTTCAATTACTAAAAAGATATGATTTAAATATCAACAAAACTTCTAGTGTTAAATTTAAAAAATTACAAATATATTGCGGCGCTAATTATTATACTATGTTAGCCTTTATTTAGTTACTAGTTCTAGGAACGTGCTTTGCACGTTTGTCCGTTATTACTATGAAAAATTTGTACAACGGGGTAAAAGAGTTATAATGCTTTCGAAGCTAAAATAACCTTAAACACGATAACTTAACTAAAATACATCCTCAAAAAGCAATTCAAAAAAGATCCGTTAAAAAGATGGCAATAGGTGTGGAGAAGAAAGTAAAAGGGGTTGGGGCAGGGATGGAGATGGAAGCAAAAAAAAGTAGGTGGATTTTAGGGAAGAAGGCGTTTTTTAAAAATTTAATTTTTCTTTTAAAATTTATTTTCTTTTTTTATATTTCAAGTTTAAATATGATTCGTCACTTGCCTTCAGATGCATGTAATCACACTCTCTCGTCAACTCAGCGACTTTAATGTAACATAAGCATAGTCAATAATCAGAGTAGTTTGATGTAGTATGTTTTGTTGAGTTTAAGGGTTTTATGGATAATTAGTTAAGTAGAAGATTTTATAATATAAAAATGAAAGTCCATCAAATCATTTCGGCTTTTTCAAATGGCGAGTGATAGACTCTTCATTACTCTAACTAGCTTAGTAACAATAGTATGCAAAAGTTTGTTTGGCACTATAGTTCAAATCCCCATGGTTACTGTTTTTTTCCCTATTTTGGCTTTACTTCGGACATGCTTCACAAATTTTTTGTCTACGCCATCGAGTAGAAAAATGTTGAGATATAAAATTTAATATCCCAAAAAAGCTGAATCATTCTGTCTAGATCCATGAATTTAAATAAAATTATTATTTAATATTAAATTAATTATATAATAATATTTAATTTAGTTTAGGAATAAAATAAGGATGGAATGAAAATTTAATTTTCAAATTAGGAGCTTTTCACTTATAATAATATATGATTTATGGTATAAGATCTACAAATCATTAAAAGACTCATCATATGACTTTGATATTTGTTAAGCCTTGGAAAAAATATGTTTTTCGGCTCAAATTAAATAATGACATTTCTTTGATACATCAAGTGGGTTTTCATTATTTATTTTGATTTATTTTATATGACACTTTTTAACTTGATACGATATTTTTTAAAAAATGAAATTTTTGAAATTTATCGTTTTAAGCAATCCTTAGATATTTATGTAATTAATCATTTTATTAAAGATAAAAGAGAATTTTTAATTAATTATTTCTAGTTACATTAAGATTATATTCTTTCTAGGACTAACTAAAAGAGGAGGTGCCACATAAAACGGGATTGAGAGAGTACTTATTTTGTTTAGTTTAATTTTAATTTTAAAAACAATGAATGTTGAATTTGATTTTCAGAAAAAAATTAAAAATAATTAAAATAGAAACCAAATTGACTATATAAATATTTATTAAAAAGGCTTAATATATAATCAATCATTTAAAATTCATTTGGATATTGTGACTAAGTCATGTTTCGATTCAAATTTCAATAAAATGTTTGAGCGTGATTTGTTCATCAATAGTTAAGTTAACCACGTATTCCCATCAAGAAGAAAACATGTGTTGTATCATGATGTATTGAGGTGAATGCATATAATCAAAGAAAATAATATATTTTTCATTTGATTAATTAAACTATCTAATAAACAGAGAATGAGAGCAGCCACAATCGTGTAATGTTGTTTGTCCCCTTCGTATATTCAAGGATTTGGGATGGGCTCGCAACCATAATAGTAAGCTTACAAGGAAAAGGGTTGCCTATTACGTACTTAAACAAATTGTTCATCATCTCCTTGTCCATTTGATCACCATTACTTTTCCCCATACTTCAACAAATCGTTCCAGGCCGTGTTAGAGCTGTTGTCGAAATTGAGGGAATGAAGCATGTGTCTGCCCAGATGAATGTGGAGATTGTGAGTTGCTGGGTGATGAAACCATGTCAACAAGAGCATGGGCATTGTGGTGTGAAACAGGACTTGCAGGCTGAGGTTCTCCACCAACAGAAACAAGGGCAAGGATATTCTCAGTTGTAGGTGAGCTGAATCATCCATCTCCACTCAGGAGATCAACTTTTATTGTTGTTGATGGAATGCTAGCTGAAGGAGGAGCAGGAAGAAGCAACTGTGTCCCTAGCCTAGCATTTGATGTAGATCTGAAAAACACACACACCAAGCGATTTATATGAAAAAGATTGTGTCACATTTGAAGACTCAAAAATGAAAAACAATACTCAGGATTTCCCCTTTTCTTGGAGGGAAGGGGAAGGGATAGCTTATTCAAAGTACAATCACCTAGCGCTGACTAGGAAAATTCTGCATCGCAATATTTCCATCAATCTTGAAGTACCACAGGACTTTTGAACCTTGAGAGGAGGTCAAGTTAGAGAATGAGACAGAGAATAGTTATTTACCCTTGGTCTGATTGTTTGCGGCCTCCGGTCTCAATAAGCAGAGCATCAATTGATGTGGTTCGGATTTTGGTTTTTCTACTTGAACAGAAGTTCCGGAAGCAACAGATTCGTGCTTGGCCAATACAAGCTGCAACTTATCATTCAGCGCTAGCCCTACGCAGAGCAGTGATTCATCCCTGCATCAGGTGAATGTAAGGATCCCACAGGAATCACAACCAAATGGTGCATAATATATATGGCAGAGCAGAGAGAAAACATAGAAAAGACTCGGACTAAGAATAAGAGATTCGATTTAAGTTCCAATATCATGGCCAGTCCGGCATATTTGTATTGCTTAAACAAAATATTGCTGTCCTAATTGAATAACTAGAACTTCTACTGCAAAAATATGGACAGAAGATCTCCCCGACAATGACTTGAAAATATGACATAAATTAGAAGCTTCAAGTTTCAACTAATTACCTAACCCTCTTTCACTAGAAAAAAGAATCCGTAGATATGGAACTCATAAATAAATAAAAAGGAATCTAAAAGACACTAATCAATAAATTCAGAAGAAAAAAAATAGCAAGCATTCCACCTTTCTGCTCTCAGTTTCCCGACAAAGCATCCCAAACTGCAAATGCAAACACTGGGTTAGGCTCTATTAACCAATTCAAACCTAAACTCTTACTGATAAAAATTAAAACTATTCCAGACCATCTAAAGCAAGCAACAATCACAACAAACTTTGACTACTTGGAGAGTCCACGTCAACAGGGCACAGCGTTCCTACACTTCTTTAAAGAGCATCATGCGACATGCACTACAGTGTGTTATTGAGAATGCCCATCTCACTTACCAAAACAATAATTAAAACCTTCCAGGTTTCAATTTGAAAATTATTTATCAAGAATAATTTTGAGAGGATTGTCAACAAAAATACATACTGTTTAACATACACATGAAATGTTGAAATCAGATTAAAAAAATCCAAAAGGTTGTTGACCTGAGAAGCTCCTGCTAAGCATAGATTTGGAGTATGGCCCTGGTCTTAATTTTTTTTCTCCATTTTAACTACAAGTAGATTATACACTTCCATCTTCTGCCCTTCAGCTGACATCATTCACATTTGGACACCATCTAAAGACACTGCAACTGCTTCCACTCCTGGCTTCAGCAGAAACACCTTTCACCAACTTTCACTTCCAAAGGCCAGATGAAAGAATATAAGGTTCTTTATCCTACCATTTAACAAGGTCAGCATCATTACAGAAATAACGTCTAATAGATCATCCTGACCTAACCAAGTGTGTTTATTTGGTTCAGTTAACACAATTTTCCCAGACTTGATTCTGAAGGTATAGTCTTTTACAGCTGCACCATGTACTGTAGTGCTAATTTAAAGACCCAGCAAACTGCTGTACAAGACACAAATTCACCATCACAGAGTCCACAATGTATCCATAACGATACCATGAATAAAGCTCCACAAGAGAGTGCGGCCCAGGTTTCCTCCCTTCATGATCTTCAAAGAGCTAGCACGATTCTTCATTAACCTATTTCACCCACTATATCAAAAGTAAAGATAATCATAAGTAGGGAATCAAAATTGCGGAAAATGCAAAGAAGGTCTATTTGTCCTTTATCAAAACAGTATAAGTATGTTTGTCTCTTCCATAATTACATTAGTTACAATTGTGAATAGCGAGAAGTTATATTTTTGGTTTTGGACAATGGAAACACTTCTAGCAGAGATAAAGTTGCACATGATAGCTTGAAGAAACAAGTAACTAAAAGAATATCACAAAGAACATCACAAATCCTTAAATATAGAAGAAGTACCGAAGACGTACACGAAGCAGGTGTTCCGGCAAAGCCAGCAGTCGCCATCTGCTGGTTCAAGGAATGAGTTCCGTGTTCAGCCCCTGAGTTACTGTAGGGCAAGTTGTTGGCAACTCGACTCAATTTCCTCCTGAATCTTTGGTAACTCCCGAGTACATATTCGTTGGTCCATTCGCATCAGAGGACGAAACCATTAATGTAAGGACCACACATTTGACCCTATTCATTGACATGCATCCATCCAGCTGCAAGTACATTTTGTGGGTACACCACATTTCTCTGTAACTCGCTGAAGCTTGTGTATACACCAAAATACTCCTGTCACGAGGCGATAAAACTTTCTCACTCTAACCATTAGACTGGCAACTCATCTCCACACACAATGATGAACCAGATTTTGCAAGCAACTGATAGTTTAAACTCCTTAAATCAGTCAGCCAAATAGATAATATAAAAGTATCAGCAGTGGTCATCCTACCAGCTTTTGGTACATACCGTTAGGCTCCCGAATTCTAAAACTAGCTGAATCGCGTAGGAGTTTTAGAAACAGAATAAAACATTTTTTATATGCATCAAGCAGATGAGAAATCTTACTTACTTTCACACACAAGTTTTAAATAGAATAAAATATCAGACTATGAAATTTAGAAGAAAAAAAAACTTAGTAAACAGCAGTAAGAACCTGATAATATTGATAAAAGAAATGTTTATTAACATAAACTAAAAAGCAAACTGGCTCTAATCTGTTGTTCAATCACTAAAGTTGAAGGCATTGTAAAGATTGCATAATCTCCTGCTTGTCAAGAATAATTTTGAGAGGATTGTCAACAAAAATACATACTTTTTAACATAAACATGAAATGTTGAAATCAGATTAAAAAAATCCAAAAGGTTGTTGACCTGAGAAGCTCCTAAGCTCCTGCTAAGCATAGATTTGGAGTTTGGCCCTGGTCTTAATTTTTTTTTTCTCCATTTTTACTACAAGTAGATTATATACTTCCATCTTCTGCTCCTTCAGCTGACATCATTCACATTTGGACACCATCTAAAGACACTGCAACTGCTTCCACTCCTGGCTTCAGCAGAAACACCATTCACCAACTTTCACTTCCAAAGGCCAGATGAAAGAATATAAGGTTCTTTATCCTACCATTTAACAAGGTCAGCATCATTACAGAAATAATGTCTAATAGATCATCCTGACCTAACCAAGTGTGTTTATTTGGTTCAGTTAACACAATTTTCCCAGACTTGATTCTGAAGGTATAGTTTTTTTACAGCTGCACCATGTACTGTAGTGCTAATTTAAAGACGGATCTTGTAGGAATCCCAAGAAATTCTTCGATTTCTTCCGGAAACAGATGATTAATCATCTGCTTCTCACGTTCCGTGAATAGCCGGGAGTTAGGATCAATCTAAACCAACCCATCATATTATGTATACGATTCAACACGCCAACTATTAAACAACTTATTAGAAATACAAGACAGCCAATCATAAATGTCACGAAATCCCCGCTCTTCGGGGGTGCCACGTTTGGTGACTTCCCTTCTGTGTAGACTGCCTAGCAGGCTTTCAATCTTAGTACTATGGTGGCCGACCAGAGTAAGTAAGCATGTAAACGACCATCTCTCCGCAGATAAAAGACTAGAGTAGGTTCACTGATCTTGAAAAACTAACGAAGATAAGGTCGATAGCTTGCTTTCTCGTGAAAGTACGGGAAAGAAATAGCTTACAAGAACAAGTAAGAGAGTTGACTTGCTTACTTTAACAAGTAAGGGAACTGATGTTGCTTACTAAAGTAAGGGATTGTTGACCCTTTCAATCTTGTTTGTACCCACGGGGCACATTGAACACCAACTCAACTAAAAAGAGAAAAAAGGGTACTCACTCGTCGGTAAGGGAAAGGCTAGGCTTTTCTTACGCTAATTCTTCTCTTATTATATTTACTAGATTGACTATTGCACTGAGCCCTATTCTATCTCGGGTAACCTGATTACGGCTTTTCCGACTAGGCGCCCTACCTAAGCCTTACTTCCCGTCCGACTAGCATGGTGTCATATCACTCTTGAAAGAACACGAGATCTCGGTCAATCAGAGCAATTTCCTGGGGAAAGGGGCAGAACCATCCCCACCTTATCAAGACAATTTGGTACCTGTTTTCAAACCCATCTTTCGTTGAAAAATCGAACCATTCAGCTAGGGCCGGATAGTAGTCTGAAACCGATTTTGGCTTGGGCCGTGTTCTCTAAAACCCGATTAATTAACTGGGCCAGATTCCCCTGCAACATACCCTTTCTCAGAACAAGATTTCGATTCTGATTTTGATTCCGACAACTTATGCAGGAACTTTCCAATAGACCGGTTGCTGCTTCCACAGCTAAGAAGGCTTTATTGAAAGCTTTAAAAGAGTGGGAGGACCCAGCAAACTGCTGTACAAGACACAAATTCACCATCACAGAGTCCACAATGTATCCATAACGATACCATGAATAAAGCTTCACAAGAGAGTGCGGCCCAGGTTTCCTCCTTTCATGATCTTCAAAGAGCTAGCACGATTCTTCATTAACTTATTTCACCCACAATATCAGAAGTAAAGATAATCATAAGTAGGGAATCAAAATTGCGGAAAATGCAAAGAACGTCTATTTGTCCTTTATCAAAACAGTATAAGTATGTTTGTCTCTTCCATAATTACATTAGTTACAATTGTGAATAGCGAGAAGTTATATTTTTGGTTTTGGACAATGGAAACACTTCTAGCAGAGACAAAGTTGCACATGATAGCTTGAAGAAACAAGTAACTAAAAGAACATCACAAAGAACATCACAAATATTTAAATATAGAAGAAGTACCGAAGACGTACCTGAAGCAAGTGTTCCGGCAAAGCCAGCAGTCGCCATCTGCTGGTTCAAAGGAATGAGTTCCGTGTTCAGCCCCTGAGTTACTGTAGGGCAAGTTGTTGGAAACACGACTCAATTTCCTCCTGAATATTTGGTAACTCACGTGTACAAATTTGTTGGTCCATTCGTATCAGAGGACGAAACCATTAATTTAAGGACCACGCATTTGACCCTATTCATTGGCGCATCCATCCAGTTGTAAGTACAGCTTGTGGGTACACCACATTTCTCTGTAACTCACTGAAGTTTGTGGATACACCAAAATACTCCTATCACGAGGCAATGAAACTTTCTCACTCTCACCATTAGACTGGCAGGTCATCTCCACACACAATGGTGAACCAGATTCTGCAAGCAACTGATAGTCTTAACTCCTTGAATTATCAGCCAAACAGATAAAGTATCAGCAGTGGTCATCCTACCAGCTTTTGGTACATACATACCGTTAAGCTCCCAAATTCTAAAACTAGCTAAATCGCGTAAGAGTTTCAGAAACCAGAATAAACATTTTTTATATGCATCAAGCAGATGCAAAGCTTAAAAGAGAGAGATTAGACCATCCCAGATACACAAAAGACTAAGAAACCTTACTTACTTTGTAAGTAGAATAAAACTTATATCAGACTATATAAGAAGGGGAAAATTAGGCAAAACACTTACTGAACAGCAGTTGCAACCTGATAATATAGATTAGTAATGTTTTTTAACATAAACAAACAAAAAAGTATCAGCAGTGGTCATCCTACCAGCTTTTGGTACATACTGCTGTTAAGCTCCCAAATTCTGTGTTTTCAAATTCTAAAACTAGCTAAATGGCGTAGGAGTTTCAGGAACAGAATAAAACATTTTTATATGCAACAAGCAGATGCAAAGATTAGACCACAAAAGATGAGAAATCTTACTGACTTTCACACACAAGTTGTAAATAGAATAAAACTTATATCAGACTATGAAATTTAGAAGAAAAAAAAAACTTAGTAAACAGTAGTTAGAACCTGATAATATTGATAAAAGAAAATGTTTATTAACATAAACTGAAAAGCAAACTGGCTCTAATCTATTGTTCAATCACTAAAGTTGAAGGCATTGTAAAGATTGCATAATCTCCTGCTTGTCACGAATAATTTTTTGCATTTTCTTGTCATTGTCATTATTAGCAGCAGCAGCTTTGATCTTGATCATCATCGTTAATAAGACATTCTTCCTCTCCACTTTGCTTTGGGGCAGATATTTGGATGTAAGATAATATTCTCTAATCTGCCATTCACTCTGTCTCAATCTGGATGATGATTTGTCTCTACCATCATCGACATTGTAGTAACAGTACCACGAAATTTTGACGTTGCCAATGTGCCTCTTGTTGGCATCAAAAATTGACTTGCGTTTGGGTGTGCATTTCCAAAACCCGGGTGCCTCTTTACTAGCAAATACTTTACAGTTTTCTCTATTCTGAAAAGTGATCATCAATCGTATGTTGTTATTTGTGCCCTTTGTAGATTCAAGGATTTGTGATGGACTGAAAATTCTGATTCCGTAAACATCATCGACATCCATAACAGTATGCGTACCAGGAAATGGCTTCCCCATTACATACTTCACCAAATTGTTCATCATCTCCTTGTCCATTGGATGACGACTACTTTTCCCCATTATTAGATTCTCAAAACAAACAAAATTTTCTATTGAATTCTAAGAAGAAGAAGAAGATCCTAGGGTTTTCTTTTAACCTAAAACTAAACAAAAATTTGCCTTCTCTTTTTCAATCCAATACTACCCAACTTAAACGTGTATATATATATATAAATTAAAAATTGTTACCATAATTGAACAAAATTGTTTAGCGTGGAATTTTTAGTAGCTATCAAATTTGAATAAAAATATTTAACAAATTGTAGTAGCTATTTAATTCGAATAAAAGTATTTAAAGTGGAAATTTTGATAGTTATCAAAATCGAACAAAAGTATTTAACATGGGAAATTTTCATTTATATCAGTATCGAACAAAAGTATTTAACGTGGAAATTTTGGTATCATCGTTAACTTTTTTCAAAAAAAAGTGATTTTGAAAAAAGTAAATCCTACAAGAAATATGCTACACAAAATATAAACTAACAAACCTGTTCAAGCCTTGAAAATACGTTACTTACAATTTAAAGACTTATTATAAAGTCTTTCAAAATTCATTTCTAAAAAAAAGTTAATAAACTAAAGTGATGCAAGTTAAGGGGTGCAATGAAATCATCCTACACCTGAAATTAAGTTAAAGTTCTAATTATGTTCAAAATTAACTTCAAATTAGTAAAGGTCAACAAAATTTCAAGTTTATATTTTTAATTAAGTTCAAGTTATTATAAATTAATTAAGTTCAATAAATTTCTAATTAAATTTAAATTAATTAAGGTAATAATATTTCAAGTATTTTAAAGTTTTAGTTGAGTTCAAATTAAATTCAACTTCGAATAAAGTTCAATATTGAGTTTTAGTTAATTAAGGTCACTAAGATTTCAAGTTCATATTCCTAAATCTTATGTAATAATGAATTCAAATTATAATTAATTGTAAATTCTAAGTTGTAATGCAAGTTCATATCTAACTTCTCTAATTTCAAAAGTATTTCATCAATTCCCAACTCAAAAACATTTACACAATACATTTATACTCAAAACACTTCAATTACCAAAAAAAAAAAACTCAATATATTCATGACATTCAAACATCCATCTTATACTCAAAAACACATCAACTACGAACCTCTAACTTCAAATTGACACATCAATAATTCAAAATTTGTAAAGTTCACAATCTAAAGCTCTAAAACTTTATAATAATTCAAAGTTTATAACCTAAAATTCTAAAATCCTACAATTGATTTGTTGCAAAAAAAAAATATTTATTCAATTTTTTAATATTAATATCTCGTTACAAAGTCTATAAAATAAAATAAAGAATTTGTTATATAAAAATAACAAATAAGAACCACAAAATTATTATTCTTTATTATTAAAATAACTCAATCAAATTCTTGAAATTAACATCCCACACACATTTAAGAGGATAAATATCAACTTGTAATCATACTCTTTAAAAAGAAACTACTTATAGCATATTATTATCATCTTATAGCACATCAATTAATAATATATTAATTAAAAAATATATATTTAAAAATAAACTATTTATAACATATTATTATCAAGTTATAGCATATTAACTAATAATATATTAATAAAAAATATTTTATTATTTAAATAATAATTATTATGTTCAAATAATTAATTTTAATTATATTCACTTACCTTTTATCAACAAAACCTTTTAAATTATTACTGATTAATCAATTATCTTTTAAAATTTTTTATATAAACAATAAATTATTATATATTGATCAATTACATTTTAATGTTTTTAATATAAATAATAAATTATTATTTATTAAATATTAATTAAACTTCATATTATATAGTTACCTTTTTAAAAACAAAATCTAAAAATTAGGGATTTGATCTTAATTAATTTCATATTATATGGTTACTCAATAACTACCCACCACATATCAATCAATACTCTTTTATCTTCCCCCAATACACTCAACCTCTCTCCATTTATTAATGATTAAGAATTGTGACAACATTTATTAAGTTGTTTTTTACAGTGTATTTATTGAATGTTGCATGCCCGAGAATTTGAAGAGTTTATCTTTTTATTGAGTTAAATTAAAATCAGATGAATTATTAGCATTACAATTATTCTTCATTCTTAAATTTCTCTATTATTTTAAAAAAAAATTCAACATATAATTCATCCCCCCCCTCCCCGCCGAAAAAATTCAAGATTATTTTCATAGCTGCATATTTCAGTTCTAATGGATAACTTTGTGTCAATTTTAATCAAACATAATTGAAAGTGAAATTCTTCGGGTTAGTTTTAGTTATGATTTGTTTCTTAAAATTATGAATTGTTGGTTTTATTTAGATTTATCGTTTTTTACATTTAAAACAATGTTAATTTTTTTGTTAACTGTGTTATCTGTAATACAGTTAGTAAATTTTTTTTGAAAGAAACAGTATGTTCTGTATAGCGTAGATGAAGACTGAAGTTTATTTTTTTTAGTGAATGAAATGTGTATGAAACATGTATCATTTGTGTATGAATTTTTTTTTAATAGTATGAAATTTTGTTTTTCCACAATCCCAGTGCTATAGACACTCTCTATATATTGAATTTTTCATCTGACAAGATGAAACATATCCAATTGGAATATTATTTGACTGCATTTACATGCTCATTTGAAAGTTTGATAGATCATTTGGCTGAAGCATTGTGTGATTAAATTGCAGGTTAAAATCCTACATGCCAAATACGTTATGAATACGGAAGATGATAAACATTGACATATGAATTATGAATGACATACTGAACTTTGACATATGCAACAGCTACAAATGATATATATGAATATTGTATGAATAGTGTATGAACATTGTATGAATACAACCTGAAGATTATATGAATGACAGTATCGTTCAATTTATATTTATTAGGTATAAATATTTTATGAATTATGAATGTCATATTGTACTTTGACATATGTAACATAAACAAATATTATATATATGACAATTGATTGAAAACTGTATGAAATATTATATGAATACCATAAATGTCAGTGATAACTACTGCATTCAATAAAACAAAACGTGTTTCTAACATTCAAAACAACATAATAACAAATTTAACATTACGAAATCATTATTTTTACATATGATAATTTGAACATGTTTTTCTATTGTGTCTAACCTGACGACATCTACGGCAAGTCATTATTGTATTCTCAAAACAAACAAAATTTTCTATTGAATTCTAAGAACAAGAAGAAGATCCTAGGTATTCTTTTAACCTAAAACAAAACAAAAATTTGCATTCTCTTTCCCATTTCAATATTG